CTTAGACCAAGTAAGTGCCTTTCCGGGTAACGGGTTTTGATGGTGTGAGATCATAGAGTAGTATGACTTGCAGCTGTGGGGTTAAAGTCAGGTGAGGTAGAGGGGAAGGGCGCAGAATGCTGAAGTTTTTTTGGTGCCAAAAGACAAACTTGCCTACTGTACTCTGGTGGTGCAAGCCCACGGGCCAAGCCCACTTTGTGTATCTCTGAGAAAGAACAAAGCTTGATTTTCCGGACAATAGCGTATTCACAATGCATCATACAATAGGAAAGGAAGAGAAGCAAGCAGTTCCACTTCATTAGTTCTAAAACCACGTTTATTCAGCTCAAACGTAAAAGAACAGGGCTTGGATAGTAAATCATCCGCTCTACGGGGCAAGCACAAGCCCCCAAATATTCTATTGTTTGTATGGCAAGGTATGGCTCTCCATATAAGCATCACAAGACCATGGGTAAGCAGATTCCTTCTTGTATAGACTAGTTAAATCAAAGGCTGTAAACTGGTGGCCCAGAGTCTGAATCTGGTTTATACAGTTTTAAAAAGGTTTAACATGAAAATCCAGATTTCCGCCTTTAAAAAATATATATATTAGATCTAGCCTGTTTGGGGCTGGCTTCTGATGAGGTGACTCCGAGATCTGAGGATGGAATTTAAAGGTGAAAATCATCCTGTAAGCCAATAGGGTAGCAGATCCCTGGAGAAAGAAAACAGGCGAGGAAGCCATTTTGGGCCTAAGCCATTCTGGGAGCTCAGCCTGGCCAAAACGCTTTCCTTGAACAGGTCTCAGTACTTAATGATCTCAAGGGAACAAAAGAACAAACTGTTATTAGGCAAGAGAAGTAAAAACAGCAAAGTCCTTATCGGCTGTAAGGACTCCCAGTTCTCTTTCAATGGTAAAGATTAGCCTGAAGCCTCAACTACCTGAAGCCCCGAACATAAGAGATGATGTTGTCGCGCTAGCTTCCTACCTGTTTGTCTTGCCAGTTTTCCCCATTTTCGGACTTGTGCACCTCTATCCTCCCAAATCTTAGCCGGCATAATACTTCTAAACACAAACAGAATCCAATCTTCTAGAAAGTCCTCCAAATCTCTCTCTGCCTTTATAGGAGCTGCTCCCTTTGCCTGCGTGACCCTCCCACTATGTACGATCCAGGAGAAAACCTGCCAGGTCCTCAACACTCAGCTCAAAAATCACTATTAAGAACTGTGGAGGGTCTGGGATTTTACTCAGCTTGCACGCTAACAAGTTCGCTTGCCTCTGTATCAGAGGTCATGATCACTCCCGGCAGGATAGGCAGCAAAAAAAAAAAAGCATTGGTTTCCCTTGCTTCTCCAGGCCCCCAGGGGCCTGCAGAGCATCCCAAGTATGTGCTACACACACACAGTGAGTTGGTTTCACAGCTGAGGAATACTGGATTTAGGAATCTTATCTAAGAGCTACTGGCAAACCCACCCAATCTTTGACCCTGGAGGGAGGCATTATCTTACACCGTGGGCAGCAAACTTATCTGCCCTCTGCCCTGGAGGGAAACACTCTCTATTTTCCAAGGTCGTTTGCTATGCAAATATCCTTTCAACACTAGCCCAGAACAAGACCGATGGATACAAGACAGGAAGAGATGCAACATGCAGGAAACCCATAGAGAGTGTCTCAGAACAATCACATTGTTACCCCAAAATTGGGTTCCCCTCTTGGTGGGTGTCAAGCTAAAAGACACAACCATGCCAAAGGTCCTGAGAAGGATTTATTACTTGCAACAAGTAAGGAGAACACCAGGGATCTTAGGCAAAGCAGTGTCTCCCCTAACAGCAAAGTTGGGGAAGTTTTTAAGCTAAGGGTACCTGCATATTCATGAAGGGGCTTGAGCCAGAGAATTCAGCATAGAATTGGGGCAAAGGTCAACAGAGTCCAAGCTTTAGTTGATTGAAGTCAGAAAAGGTCAACATCATCATCCTTTAGGTTCCAATTGATCTGTTGGAAGCTTCTTGTGACTCTCCAGGTCTAGGAAGGTGTTTCTTCTTAACACTTATAACTCTCTGAACCTTTAGGCTTTATAGCTTTCCATCAACATGCCTGTGTTCTACTATACAGTTCTGCACAGTAAACTCTGACACCCTGACACCCGAGCTTGTGTCTGTCTTGTTCAAAGTTGATTCCTTCACCACAGGCCTAGCATAGAGGCTAGTATAGAGCAAATGCACTCTCACTTTCTCTATATACTTATAAATATCATATTAACTTCAGATATATATATTCCTTATTCCAGAAACAAACTTTCTTTGACCTATGTCCAAATGTCATCTCAAAGTGCACTGAAATTATTTATATCCACTAGGGCAAGAATGTGAGTTAATGCATTTTTAAGGGCTTCAACACAATAGAGTCCCTTTCCTCCCAGGGTAGTTGACTTTTCCTAAGTAAACCAATATATATTTGAGTTTGGGATAAACAGATTCAGACATATCTATCTCCAAATGAGATCCTGACACTTCCCCATGAAACAAACCTGGGAATATGAAAGATCCTTAAGTTTTCTTCCATAAATCTTTCTCCCTTTCCTATCCTCTCCTACAAGTGTGTATTATGAGTGTGTAAGAACCCAAATAGCTCTCATCTGGAATGACTTCAGGGTGGGGCCCAAGAGGGAGTTGAAGGTGAGCAGAGGACAGAGGCCTCCATGAGGACCTGAATAGGTTGAGTATAATACTTTAACTGGCTCGATCAGCACAGGCATTTGCTGTCCTAGACCTTAAAGTGATTTCTTAAAATTACATATAAGATCGCAGTTAATAATATCATAATGGGACAGACCATTGTTGACCATCAGTGTCAACACCTACAATTTTTTAAGATTAGAAAGTATGTTAATTCAGTTCAAAAAACCCAGAAAACAAAAAATCCACATGGCTTCTAGGTGAACTTTATTATACTTTTTTTTTGGCCCTGCTGCACAGCTTGCAGGGATCTTAGTTCCCCAATCAGGGATTGAACCCAGGCCCCACCTCGGCAGTGAAAGCGCGAGTTCCTAACCACTGGACCGCCAGGGAATTCCCTACTATAGTTTAATGTGAGATCTAATTAAAAGAGAGTATCGCTTTAAAGGTGTGGATTGCCATAAGCTTTTGGTGACGACTGAAAACAGCCTCCAAAGTGCCTTCTTCAAGATGGCTTTGCAGCACATCTATATGGCCTGAGTCATTTCCATATTACGGATTCCAGTAACAAATTAGTTTTGGTGGCTCACCCTTCCCAATCAATTTAGCTTAGGTGTACAGTTTTAAACTTGATCTTTTCTATTGAAACCTTCCTTCCATACAGAATAGTTCATGAAGTGTTGGGAAGTCTTCTTTCGGGCCTGCTGTGCCATGCTGAGCCATGCAATTCACAAAAATGCCACACGTTTCCATGCAATTCAGTATGATCGGAAGGGTTGCCTTTTTTTTTTTTTTTTTTTTTCCTGCGTTATGCGGGCCTCTCACTGTTGTGGCCTCTCCCATTTGCGGAGCACAGG